AATCTGCAACAATATGCAAAGAAAGTAGACATCTAAAATGGCTTCACATATTAATGGAAAGGCGTTAGGCACTTAAAGGGACCTTTTCATTCTTGTGGTATTCTAGTGATGATAGAATAGCCAGTCACTTGTTTTTCCTGATCGATCCGTTTTTTCATCCACATTCTAACTGCTTCATTCTGGCAAGCCAAGGGGTCAAGGTTTGACCATCCTTGGACAGGACGCCAGTCCTTCACAGGGCACACACAGACACAAACATGCACACTCACATCAGAAGCCAATTGACCTAGCAGAATGTCTTTGGACTGTGGGATGAACCCAGAGGAAACCCAAGCAAACATGGGGAGAACATACAAACTCCACAGAGGAAGCATCCCAGGTCTAGAATTGAAAGGCCCTGAGCCAGAAGGCAGCAATGCTAACCACTGGACCAATGTGCTGCCCTTGTTATTTGTAATCTGGAACTGTTAATCAGTAATACTGTTGGTAGTTAAAGGATGACCCTAGAATTAGGGTTTATAAGTTTGAAAAGCACGCTATTGAGGAATGAGGTGAAGCCTCTTAGAAAGTTATACTTCAGAAAAATGTTGAACATACTGTAATATAAAAGGCACAAAACTAAATTTAAAGGTAGGAAAATATCATCTAATGGTTTAACAGAATAATTTAATTAAAAAACAGAAGTAAGAGAGCAGTCTCCCAAGATTTAAAGACAGAAAAAGAGTCCATCATGCTGGAAGAGCAACTGAAAATAAGACATTAGAATTGTCAAGAGAGCGACAACTCAGGCTAAAAATAATGCAGCTTTAAATGTTTAAGTAAAGAGTTTTGGAAGATAATATTAGATTTTTCCTAGAAGATGGTATATTGTATGAAGTAATGTGCTCAATTAATATTATATGCAGGTTTTTACAAAAGAATGTTTAAAAAATATCCATCAATCATTTTTCTAACTGCATTTTCCAATTTAGTGTCTCAGGGGAACCGAAGCCTATCCCAGCAAGAATCAGGCACAAAGTACATCCTGGAGGGGACACCAGTCCATCACAGGCTAGACACAAAGATACTTGTACCTAGGACCAATTTTCCCAGAAGCCAATTAACCTACTAGTATGTCTTTGGACAGTGGGAGGCAACTGGAGCACCCAAAGGAAACCCACACAAACACAGGGAGAGTATGCAGACTCCACCTCAGGTGCAGGATTAAACCCAGGGCTAAAGCACTGTGAGGCAGTAATGTTAATCTCTGCACCACTGTGCTTCCCATTTTGAAAACATGCTCCAGGTTGATTCTAGCATAACTGACAAAGTGGTACTAAAGGGACCAGACCATCTTAAAAACGAAGCTACTTTTTAATCACACTTAAGGAACTGAGGGATGATAATCATAGTCACCAAGGGTGGGAGCTATACATACGTATTAAAGAGTTGCAAACATAACACCCTTTCATAAAAAGGAAGACAACACTGAACAAGGAAATTATAGACAAGTTTGATTGTGAACGTTTCAGAACTAACATTATTATTAGTTTGGAGGCAAAGGCCAGGTGGCAGGTCTTGTTTGGACGAATAATACCGCTGCACATCCTCGGTGCAGTCAAGGAATAGACATAGAAAACATGGATTACTGTATTTCTTTATAGCTTTCCTTATAGTTAAACATCATCATCATTGTCTTCATCATCATCAGTTTCTAATCTCTTACTCCTGGTGAGGGTCGCAGAGGAAAAGCTGAGGAGATCTTTCCCCAGCAACAGTCTTTGGGTACTTCCAGGTATTCCCAGGTGAGAAGGGAGATAGAATCCCTTCAGTGTGTACTGGGTCTGCACTGGGATCTCTTCCCAGTGGGAAGTGCCCAGTATACCTCGCCTGGGGTGTATCCTTTCCAGATGCCTGCACCACCTCAAACTGCCTCCTCTAGATCTGGATGAGCAGTGACTCTACTCCAAGGTCCTCTGGGACAGCCGAGCTCCTCACCTTGTCATGGAAAGTCAGCCCAGCAGCCCTGGGCAGACTATGCAGAAACCTAATTTCTGTTGTACCCACCATTTCATTCTTTTGGTCATTACTCAAAGCTCATGACCATTAGCAAAGAAAGTAATAGGTTGAGCAGAACACCAAAAGCTTGGTCTAAATACTCAGCCACTACTTCACCATGGTTTGGTACAGTGTCCGTATTTCTGCAGCTGCTGCACAAATCTGCTCACGTCAATCGCACGATCCCCTCTGTTAAATCAGACCCATTCAAAATGGGTGTCGGACTCCCCAAAGGGTGCGTCTTGTCTCCTCTCCTGTTCATGGACACGATATGGAGATGCAGCCGTGGCTTGTAGTGGATCCAAGTCATGCATCCGAGGTTTGCATCTCTGGTGTTTGCTGATGGTGTTGTCCTCTTTACCTCGTTGATTGTGATCTCTGTCACACATTGGAGAGGTACACAGCTGAGTGTGAAGCGGTTGAGATGAGGGTCAGCACCTCCAAATCTGAGGTCATTGTCCTCTCCCATGAGAGAACAGAAAAGAGTGGGTTGCTCTCTCCAGGTGAGGGAGGAACAGCTGCCCCAAGTGGAGAAGTGTAAATAGCTCAGGGTCTTGTTTACGGGTGGACATTGAGGGGATTGACCAGCCGATTAGTGAGGCAACTGTAGCAATGCGGACACTGTACCGAACCCTGGTGGTGAAGCGGGAGCTGAGTTTTCAGATGAAGCTCTCAGTTTTCCGGTCGATCTACAGTACGTCCCTATCCTCACCTACCCAAAGGTTGAGAGCTTTGGATAGTTACAAATGTAAAATGGAATTCGAAAGTTTTATTACATAGCTAAGTCATCACCGTCTTACTGCAGGTCTTCTTGAAAATGGCTACTATTCACGTAGGACTAGATGCCTCTTTTGGTGGAGAAAGTGATTGATTTGAGCTGCAGGGTAGGATTATAGCATGTGATTCATTTCACATATTGAGTGGTAAAATGTAATATTACTGTATATGATAATACATTGTGCCTTGTTTGTTGCACTATTCTTTACCCCCTTCTTTGTTACGTTCTTTAATGTTCTTCATGTTAGGAATTCCAGATTCCTGGTTGCATTCTGGTTGCACTGCTCTTGCTGCCATACGCCTGAAACTAAACTGTCTCTCCTGCATTATGATTTTGCACTGCTGGACACTTTTTCTTACTGCTTCTTAGTCTTTCAGAGGTAGATCTGACAAACGCTCTCACAGAGGGGAATAAGCAGCAGCTGGGGGTTCCAGATTGCACATTGTCACCTCTGTTGACAGAGCGTTTGAGTTTATCCATATGGTGGCTCTTTTTGGGAGGGGGGGATGCTTTGTGATTTAAATTGATGCAGGAAGTTAACTTGTTCTAAGTGAATATAAACCATGATATACTCTGCACTCTATTCCTTGAATTTAAAAGAACTGTAATTTATTGACGTATATAAAAATAAGGTAAATTAGGGGATATTAATCCTTCTACTATGTACTCCTTCCTGGTTGGTTTCTCTAATAGTGGGACTTACAAATACAATGACAGGATATCAGGCTAGCATGATACTATGCTTCAAGATTGACACGGGGAAATAAATTTACTGTAATGATATACAACAATGTAAACAGGGATAATCACAATAATTGAAAGGCAATAGTGCTTCTTAACAAGTGAGAAACAGTGTAGGATTGAAGAAGAAAGAAAAAACCCTCAAGTGACAAAACATTTCTGGAGAGAGCAGCTTGAAAAGGCATACCCCTGAACATAAGAGAGTGATAGGGACAGCAATTAGTCTGTGTATCTTCTGAGCAGGCTGCTTAGAGCCTGTCAGAGCTTTGGCACGTAGAAGACTAAATACCATCTGCTGACAACTTCACTTTTCATGAAAGCAGCTCAGCGTAGACGGTTTTCTTTACTCCTCCCTCAAAAAAAATAGGGAAGAAGGAACAACTTCTTTAAATGGCAGCATTCGAAGTTTGTCTTTTAAACATTTACTTCAGCATGACTTTTAGCTCTTCCCTCTCTTAAAAAAGGGTCGACAATGTTACAGGTGTGTTGAAATGATTTGCAATCTTCGTCTTTGCTCCCTGTCTTAAGTTTTAAGATATCGCCAGGAGCCACACGAGGTTCAGAAATAACTCCCTGCCACAAAGATTCTCTTTCACACTTGTTTCATGGCGCCTCTAATTGTTTGGCCATCCTGGCTTGAACTGTTGCCTCTACCCGATCCTGTTTGTTTTAAAACTGTTCTAATCAGCAAACACTAATCATAGTGAAAAGGTCATCACAAAAAAAAGTCACAATAAGAGCTGAAGAGCGAGTAGCAACCAAAACAAACACCTTTAATTTTGATCTTTTACTGCGTATTTCAAACCATCCACTTAAGTAATTCATATAGCTCAGGAAAACATAAATCAGATCTGACTGTCAGCTAAGGTTTAAGTTCATTCGGACAAAATGTAGCTTATTTCAAAAGCCTTCACATCCTTCAGTGGAAAAGTATAACTCTTTGTTAGAATCTTATCTTTGTAGGAAGGAAGCAAGATGTTCATATTTATTTAATCCTGATGTTTTACAGTCACATTGGTATTTTGTCCAGTGCTTTGGTTTATATGCCTAATGACATGTGAGATGTTTTAAAATGGACAGGGTACAAACTAGGGTTTTGCTGAAAACATAGGTTATAGAGAGTATTGATCATCTACAAGCCTATTGCCCTTATCTGTATTAACAAGTATGCAGGAACACACTTTTGAAATTCAGTGCTCCTTTCACAATCTTGAAAGCCCCTTGACATCAGAGGCATTGACAAAAGCAAGGTAATGACATTGGCTTGAAGTGATTTGATAAAAGGGCATGTTAGAAAAGATATAAAAGTTTTAAAAAAACTTTGATGCACTTAGTACCTCTTTGTCCAACCCACGTCACATTTGGTCTCTGATGGCCTCTGGGCATTGCAGGCCGTGTTTTGTGGTTAACCAGTGTGGTCATGATGTCACCCTGTGCATTTCAGGTGCCTGCTGAGAAATGCCGGTGTGCTGTGGGCAGCATCCTGAGCGAGGGAGAGGTGAAGCCCTCTGAAGAGCTTTTACGGCTTTACGAGAAGTTTGGATACAAGATCTTCTCCTTCCCGGAGGTCACGCACGTTGTCACGACAGCCTTCCCTCACAGAACCTTCCTGTCCGTTATGCTGGGTGTACACAGGGTGTACCCACAGCTGTCCAGCTACATAAAGGTACTGTAAAGGGGCAGAGCCTCTGTTTCATTTGCAGTTGATCTTCTAAAGTAGATTAGCTCCTCACAATGGATTGGATCTGTTTGAAGGGTTGCTACTAAGTAAATACAATGCTGATTAAATTAATTTGAGAAATTATTATCTATCGGCCTTGTGATTCAAAAAGTGGGCACAAATCTTTTTTCAAATACTAGATGTGCATTCTACAGCAGTGTTTCCCAACCCTAGTACTGGAGGCATCTGCTAGTTTCTATTCCAGATGAGCTCTAAATCTCCAGTACTAATTGATTTATTGATCTCTTTGCTTGTTTAGACATTTTTATTAACTTGTTACTTTGGGCAGTCCTGAATTTCAAATATACCAAGCTGTTTTCAACAACGTCAGCATACAGAAATTTATGTAGCCTTTCCTCAACTTGCTTGCTGTTATTTCTGACTAAACAGCTTTTACTAGTTGATCAATTGATGATGATTGATAGTTGATGAACATACACAGCTGGGAATGACGCTGTATCAGACACAACCACAGTGAGAGTTTTTCCTTCTCCAGAGGTCCTGCTGGTGGCAGGTCAGGCAACATGCCAGAGTGACTAAGAAATTGGATACCATTTTCAAATCCCAACTGTCCTTTTAAGAGCTCAAGACAAATTTACAAATATGCCCCCAAACAGGAGACTGAAATCAATGAGCCTTTGATTAAGAGCTCAACTGAAGCAAAAACTAAAAGACACAGCATTCCTCTAGAACCAGGGTTGGGAATCACTGGTCTATAGAAACTGAAACCAAAGAAATGTAACATCACAGACAGTGCAAAGGTATACAGAACCAATTTCCTTGAGGTGCTGGAATACAGTTAGAGTTACTAGGCCTAGTTTCTGGGTATTTGCTTTTACAACAGGAGTATAAGGGGGGATAGTAATTTTACTCTTTTTAGCACAACAGAACTCTTACACACTTTTTCAAGTTATTTGCTACTAACAAATGTAGTGTAGCTATGCAGCAAAATCAATGTCAGCAGTATCTTTTGGTTTGATTCCGTTCTTACAGTTAGAAGGTATTAATTTAGTATTATAGATGCTCTTTTAAACATTTCATTATATTTCATACAGCATATGCAAAAATGCAAATCATACAGCACATCAAAAACACTTAGTGTTATTATGCAGGCATGCTTTTAGAAAAATAATGTATGCTTATTTTGAAAATTGATTAAATTGTATTAGTGTCACTAGATGAGGGTGTTGATTTGGCACAGGTTGTATGGTAATTTAACCAGTTGAATATCAAGCATGGTGAAAAGAAAAACTGAATTTGGAACCAATATGCCCCACTCATCAAGAAAACCTGCTTGTAAATGTGTATTTGGTGTGTTGGAGCAACACCTCAGGACTCCCCAGCAAGGTATCCAAGTTGTCTTTGGCGATGACTTTAAGTGTGGTGTAGACCACCCTATTGGTCATGGGTGAGTTTTGCATAGAAATGCAAACAATACTTTAATTGTTATGTGTAACATGCCAATAACTGAGGAAGTTTAAGGTGTGATGAATTGGATCAGTAGTCTCTGCAGAACTCTATTTGTAGTCATTGATGACAATCTAACTGCACAATACTACATTGATGAAGTCCTGGGACCTCACTTGTGAAACTATGGTAGTTTTTATGGATTCATCCTGACATGACATTTCAGGGCAGTGGACACCCTCATCACACTCTGTAATAATGGCGAGATGACACGTGACATTTATGCTTCACCAGAGTTGAGACTCATTGAGCATTTATGGGAAGATCCAGGACAACATGTGAATCTTTATTATGTCTCTGAGACTATTAAACATGGCCAAGCTCTAGGCTCTTTGAGAGGAAAGGGGCATTGCAGATGTACAGCTTTTATTTCGTCCAGTGGGGTCACAGCCACTAATAGCCCATGACGTTCACAGTAGACCTCCTGTTGAGGACATAGTTGATGTCATGTCATGGCTGCTCAATAAAATGTCAGGTCATCTGCAACAAAAGGATTGTCATTTTCCAGATAAAAACTTTATGAATTTGTTGTAGTTATATGTTATATGTTTCTTTTGATGCTCAGTGTGTGTTATCTCTTTGTCTATGACATTTATCGGAGTTGGATACATTGAAAACCTCTCATTTTTATGCTTTAGTCTAGCACACTGTTGTCATGCAAATTCTTATAGCATTACATTATTACTGAGTTTCCATCCTTAAGTTTATGTTTCTCTCTTTAAAGCTGAAACTTTGCCGGTTGAAAGCTGGACTATAATCGGAGTGTGGCGTGTTGCTTAGTGTCACATATATAAGAAAATGAGGAAATACTGCTTCCCTCCCTCTTTGCTGTTTTGTGCATTTCCAGATTGTTAAGCAGAACAAAATAGTAAACGACCTGTCCTTACAAGAGTGAGAGAGATTTATTGGGCTTGGTTGGGCCAAACATTTATTGGGCAGGTTGACATGAGATAATGAATAACTGAGGGCCACATGACATTGATGACAGGAGTGTCTTGCCTTTTATAGGAAGGATGGAAGATTTAAAAATTTAAATGTTTTAAGTCATTAATATAACATTAATATACAGTACTATTGTGTCGTAATCTTAGACATTTTGCATTGCCCAACATTTCTCACTCAGTGCTTTTCTTACTCTATGCAGAAACAATTTTGAAACACTTTGGAGGTGATCTGCTGAAATTCTGTCTATATTGTTTTATATTGTCACTGTGTGTGACATGCAAGGTGTGCCCTCAGAGCTAAATAGCTGGGTTGCAGAGAAACAGACATAAATGCAGTCAAAAGGTAAAAATAAGTGCTCTTTTATTATCTTTTATTTATTATTTATTTTATTGCTACTGACAGGATATATTTAATCCCTCTCTCAAGTAAGTGGACCAAGAGACTGAGAGTTTCCTTCTAAAACTCCTTCAAAACTCATTCCAAAAAACTCTTCTAAAACAAAGTTTCTCTCTGAAACTCTTGATTTCCCAACAGTACAAAAACACATAGGTTCCACAGTCCCATGGTTTGTTGACTGGTATAATTCTTCCCTCTCTCTTGCTCCTTCTTCCTGCAGTATGTTTGCAGAAGTTCTCTCAAATGACAGTCCCTGAATTTTGGGGGTTTTCCTGTGGTAAAATGCTTTTTTTAACTTCACTTTTGTGATGGATGATTACATTTTGATGAAAAACTCTGACCTATGAATAATTTAGGCAGATAATTATTTTTCATTTTTTATACAATCCCATATATCATCACAGATAGCTGCTTCTATATATAGAACTGCCTGTACTCTCCAGATTCCATGAGACTGTCCTCATTAAAGGATTATTTTCCCAGTAAAGGTTTTGATTAAACATTTGTGACAAGCACAAATAAGGGTAGCGTGGGTTCTTTGGGAACATAACACCAAACAAGATGATAAAAATAGTAAAATATATTGCAATTTCATTTTCATGGAGGAAGATTTTTTGAAAGATGCTTCCTGACATTTCGTGCAGTTCAGAGGAGTTGTGTATATGAAAACTTCCCTCATTTCCTGCCAAGAACCCCAACTTTAGCAAGGTTTTATCACAATCCTGTCTGTGGGTCACTTCCATTCATCCAAAGTCAGAAAGCAGCTCGTTCCGGAGAAGGGTCATGGCAACACAGAGCCTATCCCAGAAACGCAGGGGCACCATGTGAGATTTATGTTCTTGAATGTTATTCTGAGTCACTTTCCTCAAAAAATATTTGAATACGAATTAATGTTTAATGCAAATTAATGGATGGATGTTGTTTGTCATTGTTTTTATGGTTACATTTATTTTTTTTCTTGCTAGGGCGGTTTTGATTGGCTGAATTTCTGTTTCTAGGCCACTTATTACAAAATAATACATCGGACCTATTTTTTCCTGATATTCACATTCCTCTTTGTAAATGAAATATTTTATAGTCTAAACAGAAGCCGGTGATAAGTCGGGTTTAAATTGAAGATGACAGAAGTTCTTTTTTAATCTTTCACATCATTTTTTATTATTATAGAGCCATGTGCATTTTCTGTCTTCCCCCATGATGCATGCATTGCCATTCCAACTCACTGTGTGGCGACGTGTAACTTGGGATGCTTTGAATACCTGCCACGAAATGTTCCGCACTTTAGCCTTGGGTAATATACTTTCCTGCCTCATTTACCACAAATATAGTCTTGCAAAACCCTTTCAAAACCTATTTTTGTAACAGTGAATTAGCAAGGTGATAAAACTGTCAAAGTTAGAACAATAGCAGAAAACCATGTGGTGCACTCTCAGCAGACTGGAAAGAAAGGGGAGGTATAGGTTTCTTGCTAGGGCAGTAACAGGTGCAAGCTCAATACATTATTAGATCTCACCTTAGATCTTCATTACATGCTGCAAGCTGACCTGTGGACTAGCTTTAATTAAACATCTTTACCCATTGGTGTTTGTATAATTCCTGCTTTTGAAATTCCTTAATTTTAAA